ACTTGCCCCGACAGTCTGTAAAGGCTATACTGAGGGTTTTTTGTCTTTGTGCGTGTGTGCGTGTGTACGCGTGTCAAAGATTTTACAGAGAAACTGATAAATACCCTGACACAGCCATCCATACAGACTTGCATATAGACTTACGGATTTACACAGAGACCCATAGATTAGCATAAACATCCATATATAAATATTGATATGAAGACCCACAGACTTACACAGCCAGGCACAGACTTCCACAGACAGTAATATAATTATACAGACACCCATAGACTTTTATACATATAGACTCAGACTTTAAAACGACATACATACATTTACAAACTCGTATACTTTATTACTGTATATAGTGACCCAGCGATACACATTAGGGGGCTTTGTGGAGAAACTAAATAGCTAAATAGATCAGCAATATCTCCTCTGTGAGGTGTGTATTATAATGCCATTGCCTACACACATGCGGCAGCAGTTCACCAATAGCGGTTCAAGCGAGTCTGATGGGATGTGTAGCACAAAAAACATACCGACAGGTACTTGAATCATTTTCTAATGTCGAGCGATAGTTGTGTGAGATTTGTGTTGTCTGGGTCTCTATTAAGATGCTCGCGGTGCCGCTGTGTTACCACCAAGAGTCTGTGAAGGGCCACTGCCCGAAACGTCGCCACTTTATATATGGTTTTATAAATATATATTTTAAGAAAGTGTTGTTGTTCTGGAGTGGGTTGTGATGAGTGCACAGGGCAGGCAGAGACTAACAACTGAACGAACACACTCATCACCACCATCATCATCCATGTGCGATATAGCACTTAGCAAATACATTAAAACAATCTTGTATCTTAAAAGGCACTGAAATGTGTAATGTGATACATTTGCGTAAATAATTTATATTTGATATTTATAAATTATTTACAAAAGATCACTTATTAAATATATAAATAGATATACCGTTTTGCGCGCGTGTCATGGATTTGTGGGTGAATTCTGACTGGGGCAGAGGCGGTAACATTTAATCCATGATAGAGGTTTCCTGGGTCAGATCGCATAAATATTGTCGCGAAATACTACTTGTTAAACTAATATTTACTCCATCTCCATACGTACAGTACACATAAGAGTACACAATACAGGACACACTGCAGTCCACAACACAGTACACGATGCACACAAACACGTGCACGCTCACACGCCACGTGCACGCTCACACGCCACGTGCACGCTCACACGGGCCTCGTGGTCAGCGCACTGCGCGCTACGGCGAGTTCCAATCCCCGCGGCCGCGGCTCACATCAGTGGCGGCAGTGATCAATATCCGCATCGATCCTCCTCCCTTCAACTGACCAGCGTGGTGAAGTATGGTCAAACTACCCCCTAATGAGCGAGCCGGAATGGGGGAGGCCTTCATCCAGCAGGGGATTGAGAAAGGGGATCTGTAATTTATGATGTTTAACACACAGTGTGTTAAAGTGTTAACACACACAGTGTGTGTTAACACATTTATACGTGAACTCGATGCAACGCGGGGGATTTGTGTGCAGTGGTATAGGAGTGAATATATATACACAATTATACACAATTATATATATGTGTGTGTGCGCAAAAACACGTCACTATTTATTCTACAACTCAGCTAAGCTTGCCTCTCTGGTCTCAACCTACCTGATTTGAAGAAGGGCTATTTCCCGAAACGTCGCCCAACATGCATATAGAAGGCCACACACAGTGTCAGTGGACGGGCGTGTCGAGTTGTGTAACCAGAAGGGCGACCGGCCGCCACCACACGGAGACAAGGTACACAGCACAGCTAGCGAAGTCACTGAGTTATAAATATATATACTCAATAAATATAGATATATACTCAATAAATATAGATATATACTCAATAAACATAGATATACTAAAAATATATAGATATATACTCAACAAACATTGATATACTCAGTAAACATAGATATACTCAATAAATATAGATATACTCAATAATGTGTGTGTGCATACAAAGACAAAAGCCCCCCGTATAGCCTTCAACAGACTGTTGGGGCAAGTGCTGTTAGCGAGCTGCGCCTATGAAGGCCGGCACGGCACACGAGGGGGTGGGTCGCCTTTGTCTCCTCAATACTTATGTTTACCCACTGTACCAGGTACTATTTAAGGCTGAGTTGACGTAATGGTAGCCCATAACCGGTTCAGACAATCGTCACCGACGTTGGGCGTGAGCGGAAATCGAGCTCGGGTCGCCGTGTGTCGAATCGCAGTGCGCTAACCACTGCACCACCGCTCCGAGACGGGCAAGTGGACGATGCGCCCAGCGAACGTGGCCACGTTTGTAAAGACTGTGCAGTGTACAGAAGCTGTACATTACGAATCCCGCCCGTGCTTCAATATCCTGTGTAGACATTTTCAACGTATGCGGAGGATACGTCACATCGATGACGCGAACTCACCGATCCACACACACAAACCCTATTTGAATAACGGGGTTTGTAACACAGGCCCAACACGTAAAAGCGGCCAGCAACTGACAGCACTATCAAAGTGGGATAATACATAAGAGATGTACGCGTGCGTGCGTGCACACAAACATATAGACATAGTTACACACTAACGCAATGTAGTGTATTCGTATGAATGTGTATGTATTTAACACGTGGGTAGGGACACACGCACAAAGGTGAGTTGAACTCAGTTGCTGCATCACGGACCCAAGCGGTCTCGAAACGCCAAACGGCCAGCAATAGGCAGCACCTCCACCACCGTTGTAAGATGTAACCGTTAAGATGTACCAAGTATTGTAAGATGTAACAGGCATTGTAAGATGTAGCAGCAGGCATTGTAAGATGTAACAGCAGGTATTGTAAGATGTAGCAGCAGGCATTGTAAGATGTAACAGCAGGCATTGTAAGATGTAACAGCAGGTATTGTAAGATGTAACAGCAGGTATTGTAAGATGTAACAGCAGGTATTGTAAGATGTAACAGCAGGCATTGTAAGATGTAGCAGCAGGTATTGTAAGATGTAGCAGCAGGTATTGTAAGATGTAACAGCAGGTATTGTAAGATGTAACAGCAGGTATTGTAAGATGTAACAGGCATTGTAAGATGTAACAGCAGGTATTGTAAGATGTAACAGCAGGTATTGTAAGATGTAACAGTAGGTATTGTAAGATGTAACAGCAGGTATTGAGGCGTGTCTTGGATCGAGCGAGGTTATTTAATTCCAAAAGCCTGGGGGTAGAGACGACGATAATGATGGTGGTGGTGATGATGATTAAGGGAGGGAATTCCAAAGCGTAACAGTGCGAGGGAAAGTATAAACACACAAAGGCAAAGATCCCCCATATAGCCGGGACAGACTGTTGGGGCAAGTGCTGTCAACAAGTAGCGCCTATGAAGGTCGGCACGGGCACACGGCCGGGGTGGGTGGTCAGCACCTCGCCCGGCCGCCTTTGTCTCCCTAATGACGATGTATATATATACACACACATATATACCTCTATGTGACTTTATATGTATGAACTTATTTCGCACCGTACGTAGCCAACCGTGCTAATCGGAGGTGCGGTATATAATGCAATACGCGTTGTGCATTGAACGCATGCACGTGTGTACACACACACACACAGGTATTAATATTCTGTACACATACACGCGACGATTTAAGCCATTGTATGGGGTACATACAGCACGAAAGTAAAATACGCGCAATATACAGAACTACAATGTAAGGCACTTGATGTAATATGCTCATATATGTATACATGAGTATAAACAGTATACACACGCGTGCATACACATGGGCTGGTGTGTGCACACACATGTCCACACACACGCATGGAGTATGATAGATACAAAGACATAGATCTCCCGTATAGCCTGCCGTCATGTTGAGGCAAGTGCTGTAAAGCCGACGCGGCACACGAGGGAACGGGTCGCCAGTGCTACGCCCGCCCGCTCGCTTCGTCTCCTAGGTGCCGATGTTTGCACAGCGGGCACTCATTTGAGGCTGAGCCGACATAGGGGAGACCCAGGTTCAGATATCCGTCACCGGAGTTGGTGATGAGCGGGAATCGAACTCGCAGCACGCTCATCACGACACCACCGCTCCCCACATTCAGTGAATGGACACACACAGGTAGTGGTACACACACACCTGGGCAGTACACACACAGCTAGTGGTACACACACACACAGGTAGTGGTACACACACAGGTAGTGGTACACACACACCCGGGTAGTACACACACAGGCAGTGGTACACACACAGGCAGTGGTACACACACAGGCAGTGGTACACACACAGGTAGTGGTACACACACACCCGGGTAGTGCACACACACACGTGTGTAGTATTACTACACACGTGTGTGTGTGTAGTACACGTGTGTGTAGTACACGTGTGTGTGTGTGTAGTACACGTGTGTGTGTGTACACGCACACACGTGACGTCTCTATCCCTGAGTCATCTCGGAGGCTTCCCCCACCACATCCGGTGAGCACGGCTGGCTACGTACGGCGCGAACGAAGTTCAACTCACGTCCGTGCATGCATCCGGACCGCGTCAAACACCGCGCGGGGACCTCCCGAGACGGGCGAGCGAAGGGCAAGGCAGGCAGGGTAGAGGGAAGGGCAAGGCAAGGGCACCACTGAAGAGGGAGCAAGGTGGAACACAGTTAGGGCAGGTGCCGTGAGACAGGTCACGGCATCGCAAGGACAAGACACGGGCAGGGAGGTTTCATACAAAAGGGGCAAGGCCGTGTAGAGAACCACACTGGAGAACGAACGCAGAACGAGACACGGGGCGCAGCGTGCGCCGCCTTGGACAACAAGAAGGGCGAGACGGAGCAAGACGGAGCAAGACGGGCACCGCAGAGCAGGGCGATAGCAGTAGTGGTCATGGCGAGTCGGAGCAAGGCTGGGCACGGCAGGTCAGACAAGGGCACGGCAGGGTCAAACACGACAGGGCCGACACGTGACGAGACGGGGCAAGGCTGCGTCGCTCACCTTCGGTCGCCTCCGCCGCGCTCTCCGCGCCGCACCGCGACCCGGACTCGAACCCGGCGACCCCCCCGGCCCCCCCGGCCCCCCCGGCCGAGGCAGCGGCCGCGTTGAGGCCGCCGCAGGCCGCGCGCCGGGCCGGGGGCAGCGCGGCCGCCTCCTCGCCGCGGCCCCGCGCCGCCGCCGCCGTCATCATCAGCACCGCGGCTGCGGCGTCATCGTCATCATCGTCCTCATCGTCCTCATCGTCGTCCTCGTCTTCCTGCTCCTCCTCATCCTCCACCTCATCGTCTGGGTGCAGAACGTGAATGGACCTTGGCTGTTGCTGATGATGATGTTGATGATGCTGCTGCTGTTGTTGTTGTTGCTGATGGTGGAGCATCATCATGCACGATGATGGAGCGAGGTTGAACGGCTGCTGATGGTGATGTTGTTGTTGTTGCTGCTGCTGATGGTGATGTTGCTGATGTTGATGTTCGAGGTTGAGGATGTCTTTCACCGAGAACGGGGTGGAAGTTGCCGGGCAGGGCAGCATCATCATCGGCGGTCTGTGGGAAGACCAGCTCCTCACTCGGACATCGGGAAACGCAACCACCACCACTAACACAACCAATAACCACCAACACCACCACCAACACTAACACAACCAAATAACCACCAACACTAACACAACTAATAACCACCAACACTAACACAACTAATAACCACCAACACTAACACAACTAATAACCACCAACACAACCATCACCACTAACACAACCAATAACACCATCACCAACACTAACACAACTAATAACCACCAACTCAACCACCAACACAACTAATAACCACCAACACAACCAACAACCACCACCAACACCACCACCCACACAACTAAATATCACCAACACAACCAACACAACCACCAACACTAACACAACTAATAACCACTAACACAATCACCACCACCACCAACATCACCACCACCAACCCCACTAACACCACCAACACCGCCACTCCACGTTACATCTCCACTGTGTTCCACTCTCCTCTCGAAGCAGAGCGCAAACATCGAACACATTCTTAGTAGAACACTACGATACAGAGCTACACTCCATGTCTATGTGTTACAGACAGTGCGTACATGTCTATGTGTTACATACAGTGCGTACATGTCTATGTGTTACAGACAGTGCGTACATGTCTATGTGTTACATACAGTGCGTACATGTCTATGTGTTACATACAGTGCGTACATGTTTGTTTACCAAATAAAATAAAATCAGAGACGAGTTCTGACCTGGTCAGACAGCGCGACCCGGGTTACCGATCCCGCTCCGCGTCGCCCATGCAGCTCCCTGGCTCCGCGCCGCTGTCGCGGGACACAATGTCCGTGGTGCTTCGCTAAGCTCGTCTGAGTCTCGACTGCGTCTCTCTCGACTGAGTCTCTCTCGTCTGAGTCTCTCTCGACTGAGTCTCTCTCGTCCTGCTTAGCGATTCGAGGGTTCTACTCCGGGATGGGGCCCCGGGTCCCCGCCGACTGCGGCCGCGTGCGAGTCCCAGCTCATGCTCGCAGCGGTGTCTCTCTCGCTGTAGGTGCGTGTGACACTCACGTGTGTGTGTACGTGTGTGTGTACACGTGTGTACGTGTGTGTGTACGTGTGTGTGTACGTGTGTGTACACGTGTGTACACGTGTGTGTACGTGTGTGTGTACGTGTGTGTGTACGTGTGTGTACGTATGTGTGTGTGTACGTGTGTGTGTACGTGTGTGTGTACGTGTGTGTGTACACGTGTGTGTACGTGTGTGTGTGTACGTATGTGTGTACGTGTGTGTGTACACGTGTGTGTGTGTGTACGTGTGTGTGTACGTGTGTGTGTACACGTGTGTGTGTACGTGTGTACGTGTGTGTGTGTGTACGTGTGTGTGTGTACGTGTGTGTGCGTGTGTGTGTGTACGTGTGTGTGTACGTGTGTGTGTACACGTGTGTGTGTACACGTGTGTGTGTACACGTGTGTGTGTACACGTGTGTGTGTACGTGTGTGTACGTGTGTGTGTACGTGTGTACACGTGTGTGTGCGCGTTACACGCGTGACACGAGCGCGGCGTGAGTCCGAGCGCAACTCGGAGGGCAGAGAGGACGCGGAGCCGCCAGGCGCGACGCGCGCCTCCGATCGCCTCCCCGTGCCTCTCCTCCTCTCTCTCCCTCTCCCTCCCCGTGTCCCTCTCTCTCTCCCCGTGCCTCTCCCCGTGTCCCTCTCTCTCCCCGTGTCCCTCTCCCTTACCCTCCCCGTCTGTGTTGATCTCTCACTCCCCCTCTCTCTCACTCGTTCTCCCCGTGTCCCTCTCTCTCTCTCCCTCTCCCCGTCTGTGTTGATCTCTCACTCCCCCTCTCTGTCCCTCGCTCTCCCCCTGTCCCTCTCTCTCTCTCTCCCTCGCTCTCCGACCCCTTTGCTCGCTCTCGCCTGTCACCGCCTCGCGTCGGGGGGCGAGGGGAGGGAGGCGCTGGGGTTGGCGTCTCCCTCCCCTCTCTCCACCCCTCGCATCCCTGGGCTGGGCTGGGCACGCTCGGCCCCTCCTCCTCCACCCCCTCCTCCTCCCCCTCCCCCCAGGATAGCGAGGGACGCTCCCTCTCAGGGGAGGGGTGGGGAGGCGGGGAGAGAGAGGGTGGAGGGAGAGGGAGGAGATAGGAGCGAGAGAGAGGAAACAGGGATAATGGTGGAGAGAATGAGGGGTGAGATAGGATAGGGAGAGATAGAGGGGGCAGAGAGAGGGGGCAGAGGGGGGGGGGGATAGGGGGATGGGGGCGGGGGGAGGCGTCAATGAAGAGAGGGGCCTGCACCTCAACACGCGAACCCCTCGCTCTCCCCTCTCTCTCCCCTCGCTCTCCCCTCTCTCTCCCCTCTCTCCTCTCTCTCCCCTCTCTCCCCAGAAGCGGGTTCGGTAGGAACTCACGAAGCAAACAAGTTCTTGAAAACAACTTTAAAACAACAAACACGCTCTTAAAGGATATACACACACACACAAAGACAAAAATTCCCCCTATAGCCTTAACAAACTGTTGGGGCAAGTGCGGTTAGCGAGCACCTATGAAGACCGACACGGTACACATGCGGGTGGCCAGCACCACGCCCGGCCGCCTTTGTCTTTTTAGTAGCGATGTTTACACACCGCAACCAGGAATTAATTTGAGGCTGAGTCGACCTAGGGGAGGCCCAGGTGCGGTCAGATAATCGTCACCGGTATTGGTCGTGAGCGGGAATCGAACTCGGGTCACCGGAATCGTTGAGCAGCGCCGCTAACCACCGCTCACCACACACACAAAGCCACACACAGACACACACGCACATACACACCACGCACAGGCTCACATTGAATGCCACTCACGCACATAGCTGCTACATTCACACCAACACTCACACACATAGATACCACGCACACACACACTTAACATACCACATTCACGGTAGACTCACACACATAGATACCACACACACACACACACTTAGATACCACATTCACGGTGGACTCACACACTTAGATACCACGCACACACACACACATAGATACCACACACACACACTTAGATGTCACACACACACTTAGATACCACATTCACGGTAGACTCACACACATAGATACCACGCACACACACACACATAGATACCACACACACACACTTAGATACCACATTAACGGTAGACTCACACATAGATACCACACACACACACTTAGATAGCACATTCACGGTAGACTCATACACATAGATACCAAGCTCACACCTACCACATACGTACCAACTCATACATTTGTACATACAACACACATACACTAGGACATTTACCTACACACACATATACACAATAGCATACACACATAGATACACACTCTCAAGCATTTATAAAGACACCCACTCCGGATAGTCTACACAGACTGTTGGGGCAAGTGCTGTTAGCGAGCACCTATGAGGGTCAACACGACACACGGCGGAATGATGTGGCTACAACCACGCCCGGCCGCCTTTGTTTCCCCATTGCTGACGTTTGTTCACAGTTCGCGACAGCCACTCACTGGAGGCCGAGTCGTGTTCGGAGCTCAGTGCGCTCGCCACCGACACACGCACACACACACGCACACACACACACACGCACACACACACACACACGCAAACACACATACACACACATACACACAAACATACACGCACACATACACACATACACGCACACGCGCACACACACACATGTACACACACGCACGCACACGCACAAACACACGCACGCACACACACACGCACACACACGCACGCACACGCACGCACACACACACGCACGCACACACGCGCACGCACGCACACACATGCACACAGACACACACGCACACACACGCACGCACGCGCACACACGCGCACACGCACGCACACACACACACGCACGCACACGCACGCACACGCACGCACACACACACGCACACACACACGCACACACACGCACGCACACGCACGCGCACACACGCACACACGCACGCATGCACACACGCACAGACACGCACACACGCGCATGCACGCACACACATGCACACAGACACACACGCACACACACACGCACGCACGCGCACACACGCGCACACGCACGCACACACACGCACGCGCACGCACGCACCCAGACACGCGAACACACGCATGCACACACACACGCACGCACACGCACGCACACACGTGCACACACACATGCACACACGTATATTGAACTTCTTTCGCACCGTACGTAGCCAACCGTGCTGATCGGAGATGTCTACAAAACACACACACACGCGCATAACCCGTATACACACAGGTACATAAACGAACACACACATAAAGATACACATATAGACAAAGACCCCCGTGTAGCCTTCACAAACTGTTGGGGCAAGTGCTGTATGGGAGCACATATTAAGGCTGGCACAGACACACATACACCACACACATAACACATACACAACACATACACAACATACACACAACACATACACAACATACACACAACACATACACAGCACATACACACAACACATACACAACATACACACAACACATAGACAACATACACAACACACACACAACATACACACAACATACACACAACACATACACAACACATACACAACATACACATAACACAACACATGCACACAGCATACACAATACATACACAACACATACACAACATACACA